CAAGTTTTTTGTACAGTTTTGCATCTTCACCACACTTCCAGTCCACACTCTGATAATGATCCAACTCCTTCCAGACAGAGATCAAGTCTTAGTACACAAATAGACACCTCTCCCCCTGTTTACAAGTAGACGATTCTGCCTATAGCTGGTAGATTTTTGCATAGTGTCGCAGTTCCGAATATGTTGATTTTGCTAGTTCCAAGATCTCATTTGCCGTTTCAGCCCACATGAAATTCCTTATCATTTGAGGTTGCATAGAAACTAAAAGCCGAGACATGACCATGTTGTTTTCCTGGTTCCATCTGTCATATTTAGCACTCCCAGAATGTGGTTCTTTGATCCTCTCATTAATATAACCAATATTTCCCCTTGCAGTGATGTACAGCTTGATCCCTCTTGACCACTCTAAATAATTTAAACCATCAAGAGGAATAACAGCCATGGGAAAAGATAGGTCCACACCCCCCACTCATTCCATTCAGCATTGAGGAAACACCGGATGTAGCAGAATCTTCACCACTCGTGATTTCAAATTCAAAAACAACTCTTCAATGGGGTACACAGCCTTAAAGAAATTCAACACTGAGGGGGAACGGAAAAAAAAAAAAATCTTCAGAAACACACCTCCTTTTGTAAAAACACAGGTGCTGTTACAGCACTAACAGGTCATCCCTTGACTTACAAGCTCAACACAAGTGTTGCCACAGTGCATACAGGTCATCTCTTGACCTACGCATCAATAGGACTGCTGTTACATCAAGTACTGGTCACTTTATGACCTTCAGTTCACCATAAAAGTTGTTGCAACACACAAGAGGTACTGCTCACTTTCTGACCCTCAGTTCACCATAAAAGTTGTTGTTGCAGCACACAAAAAGGTCCTCACGACCTATAGTTTCATAGGGATCAGTCGACCCCACAAAAAAGGAAAGAAAGTCACCTCACATCCAATCGGCAGACCTAGTACAGGTTCTGCCCTGGCACACGACCAGAAAAAAAGATAAGAGAGAGAGAGAGAGAGAGAGAAGTTACTTCAGTGTGTGAGATCTTCAATCAGCTGAACAGCAGATGAGGGCGGCAGATCTGGAAATCTGGTGCGAAGAAGAAAAAAACTATTAACTTGACTTCTCCTTTCAGATCTGATAGTCCCGCTCTGATACCATGTTATGCAAGAGAGAAGAATGGAAGAAGAGAGAAAAGAGAGAGAGAGAAGAGAGAACTGAGAGCAAAAGATACTGCTGGCGCCGCAACTTTTTTAATATATATACTAGGGTGACAGAAACTAAAATAAAAGAGTAAAAGTACAATAGTACCCCTGCGGTACTATACATAGGAAAAATAACAGCTGTTAACAATTTGTATTAAGATTGTCAAACTCTGAGTACATAAATGTTTCCAATGACTCACTTGGTTCATGGTAGCATCAGTAGCATTAAAGCACAGCCTAGGTGACCATTTTGGTGTCTCATTTTTAATGTGTGTAACCCATTTTGGGCCAGTAGGAGTTTTTTTTTTCTTTTTGATAAGCAACAGAAAATTTTATTAGAAGAAACTCCTAGCTGCCCTAGGAAAACGGCAGCAGGTCCAAAAAGTATAAAAAACCAGCTTCAAGAGGGAAAATAAAACAAAAACAACTATAATTTAGATCTACAAATTGAACCTTGGCCCCAGAAATCCCTAAACCAACTGATCCCTGACAACACCTGCTTTAGCCAATGCATCAACCATCGTGTTTGCTCTTCTAGGTAGTCATTTGAATGAGCTGTACAAACTGGCACCTATGATTTGTGCATTTCTAACTAGATACCTAAATCTCCAAGGAACTTCCTCTTGCTTATTCATCCCCAAAATTTTGGTTTGGTAGTTCCCTAAACCCATTTATTTTCAAAAGCTTTAAACCCTGGAGCTATCTATTCTTTCTTTGGTGTTGAATCTTGGATTGGTATCCAGTCATTATTTGTCATCCTCTCAACAGGTCATTTAGAGAGACATTTTTTAAATCTTCACTCACCTTAGCCCAATGAACCACCATAATCATAGTCAAATCAATTATTAATTCTACCACCATGTATTTGTCTTCAAAAATTCTTGCATTTCTTTCACTCCACAAATCCCAAAGCACTGATGTATACATCAACTGTTATAGGATTTTTTTGTCTTTGAGTCTTACAGTCATTATATTTGAATTGAACAGCCCCATAACATCAGGGATCTTACCTGTGTATGTGTTGATTTTTATTCAATCAGGGAAGTTGTTCAAAAATCGTGTCATTTTCTTTTCTTAAATCAGGTATAAGTTGTCATTTAATTATTTACTAATTTAATCTGCAACTTAATAGTTTATTATTAACATGTAATTCTATAATATTTATGTAAGATTACATATACAACATAAATAATGTGCACATTTTATTTAGTCATTGTTGTTGCCTAGCCACCTTAACTACTATGGATTTGAAGTATAGACATGGTAGAGAATAAAGCCTTCCACTTCATTTTAAGGAAAAGGGCAAACAGGTCATAAAAAAGCCATGAATACCAAGAAAAGAAAAGGAATAGAAAGTGGATACAGCTTTCTGTATTAGTTTCTATTAAAATAAAAGAAATAGATTCACAACTCTTGGTTAACGAGGATGACTCTTTGATGAAGACAATAGTTTTCCAATGAAGATGATGATGAGTTAATAATCATTGAAATCTCTACAAAGACAAAACTTCATTTATTTCTTCTTTTAGGGTTTTCTTTTTCTTTTTTTATTTTTGAACTAGGTCATTTTACAAGTTTAACTGATAACCTAACGATCATGTATATGCATAATCTAAAAGACAAGGTGAGTTGGGAGCCTGGAGAGGAGAAGCGGGACCATAGGGTGTTGGGAGGTGGTAACTAGAGGTAAAAAGCTAGGAGGTCTTGGGATTGGGGATCTTAGGAAGAGGAACATGGCATTGTTGGGGAAATGGCTATGGAGGTTTCCGTTGGAAAGAGACAAGTTGTGGACAAAGATTGTGGCTAGTATACATGGGTTGGAAGACAATGGTTGGAAACCTAGAATCTTGGCAAGGACTACAGCCGCTTCTCCTTGGTCAGCCATACACAAACTGCTTCCAGTATTCTCCCCTTGTATCAGGTATGGCCTTAACTCCAGTAATAAAATAAAATTTTGGGAACAACTTTGGRTCRGGGACTCACCTCTAATGGACCAATTCCCCTYTTTGTATGCTCTTTCTAATTTGAAAAATGAACCCATTTCTTCCTTCTTAACCCCCGCAGACTCTCCTTCAGGATTTGGGTGGAACCTAGGGCTAAGAAGGGCAATTAGGGAGACAGACTTGGACCACATTTTGTCTTTGTTAGCCATCCTTGAAAATGTCTTCTTCGATCCCATTAAAGAGGACACCAGATTTTGGGTTCCCTCCTACTCAGGTGTTTTCTCTTGTGCCTCATTCTTCGAGACTTTAACTCAGCCTTCTGATCCCACTGGTTGTCTTTCCCGATTAAAGAAATTTGGAGTAGGCCTATTCCTCCTCGGGTTGGTAGTTTTTGTTGGGAAACTTTCCCGAAAAGAATTAACACAAATGACCAACTTCAGAAGAAGAGACCCAACTCTTGTTTACTTCCTAATAGATGTACTCTGTAAAGTTGATGGGGAAACTAGTTACCACCTTATGGTCACTTGTTCGGTTGCTAAATCAGTTTGGGAGTGGGTCTTTTCCCTTTTTGGGTGTGTTTGGATTCCCCCTGGGAATGTCCAAAGCTTGTTCTCTCCCTCTTTTTTTAGATGGCCAAAGAAGAGAGGGAAGACTATATGGAGAAGCATTAGGGCTGCAGTGTGTTCGTCTCTATGGGAAGAAAAAAACTCACGAATATTTTCAAATAAGGAAAGAACCATTGGAAACTTATTAGATCTAATCCTGTTAAGGGTGGCACATTGGTTGAAAACTTCTCAGATTATTCTGTGGTTGATGTTGTGAGAAATTGGAAGGAGATAGCCTCCCCTGCCCTCTGTAAGAGGACCTATAGTCCTTCATGGTCCCCTCCTCCTTCTGGGTTCATAAAATTGAATTTTGATGGTAACTGTATAAGGAACCCAGGGCCTTTTGGGATTGGGGGAGTATTCAAGAATGAGGTGGGGGCTATTATTGCTATGTTCTTAGGCCCAATTGGGGAAGGAGACTCTCTTAGGGTTGATATCCTCGCAGCCCTAGAAGGTACCCAAAGAGCAAGGGAGTTGAACATCAGATGTTTGGTTCTTGAAGGTGACTCGGAGGTGGTGATTAGGTGGCTAAAGGGGGGAGGCAGCGGATTATGGAGTTATAACAACGAGAAGAATAAATTTAACTGGCTGAGTAGGGATATTGTGGTTCATTACAACTGGGTGAAGAGGACTGCTAATTCTTTTGCTGATGGGTTAGCAAAGCAAGGGGTGGATGGGGTTTCGACTTTTTGGGCTAATTTTTGAATTTTCCTTGTATTCTTTGGTGGGGAGTTAAGTCTTTTTACCTCCCCTTTGTACCTAACTTCACATAGTTTCATATCTTTAATAAAGTTTCTTATTATTTATCAAAAAAAAATTAAAAGACAAGGTATATTTGGGCTTAGTTACTTTAGGAAGCTAAACCAAAGCAAAATCCAACCTTAGATATGGTTCGGAGATCCAGCCCAAGGTTAAACCACACCAAATGTGTCAGTCAAATTGTGGTTAAGTTGGTCCAATTTCCACCCCTAGTTAAAGAATTTAATTTCCACATTTCTCATCACTTCATCAGTTACTGCTTATCTTGATAATCCAATAGCTTCAATGTAAAAATACCTAACAATAACCAATATTAGGATGAAACAACTCCAAATCCCCAAGCCATGCATATGCCCTTAAAATGCCTACAGTATGTGCATCAAGGCTACTGGATAAAGAACAACCAAACATTCATTTGTCATACTACCATATCCTACCCTACACTACACATGGTAACCAAATAGAAAGCATTGTGCAATGACACACCTCCATGTAGAGATTTGCTCGTGAAATGGCCTCTGAGAGACCTGTTTTGGATGATGTTGCACGAGCATCAGTTCGAGCCACAAGAAAAAAGTCAGAATCCCCTATAGCATCTCTTGCAGATGCTATTTTCGCAGCATGCTCCTCTGCAGGTATCACCTGAAAATATAAAGAGGTACAGCCTAAACCTGGATTACACTAACAGGTGGTGATAGGGTGGCTGATTAAAGATCACAATGGCTTATGGAAGTACAATAATGAGAGGAGGAAATTCAAGTGGCTGGTGCGGGAATGGAAGTTAAGATACGTTGGGTTAAAAGATCGGCTAATTCCCTAGCTGACAGTTTAGCTAAACAAGGGGCAGAAAGGGATTCACTTTTTTGGGCCAAGCTGTAACTTTAGTGTGTTTTCTTTCTTTTCTCTTTCTTTTTTTTCCTTTTCTTGAGGTTCTTTGTTGCTCTTGGAAGATAAGCGTGTTTGTCTTCCTATTGTAAATCTTCTATTGATGAATTAATGAAAGTGTTATTGATCAAAAAAAAAAAAAAAAGGTCGACATCCTAGCGAAAGATTTATAATTATAAACAAAGTAGATGTGCTATAAATTCCTGGGTCTTGGATAGAAGAGCTTGTTTTCATAAAAGAAAAATCTGAGATTACCTGTTTGCCACGCATATGCCCTTGTTGATTGCACATAATAGAACAACAATCATTGTAAACATTGTAAGTAATGACAATAAAATGAATAACTATGTATTACCATCAAACTTAAATTGGGGAAGAAAACAAAGTGGGTCCAAATTATGAGTAGAAGATACTCACCACACTTCTTTGGCCATGCTTGATCCTGAGAATAAAGGGAAACCATAAAATATTCGTTTCAGGAATACAATAAATTTTGGTTACAATAGAATGATTATGATATTGTGTATCATTATCTTCAATAATCTAGTTTGTTTTTTGTAACTGAAGGCCAATAAGAGGTTTTAGTCAATAGTACCTCAAGAAAACAACCAGCAGCACCAGCTGCAATCAAGTCCTGGACAGTCCTCTGAACATTGAGAGCATTGCCACCACCCGTATCTGAAATATATGAACAAATAAGGAATAAAATTTTTCTTCAAACTATAAACATTTATTACAAAAAGAAATCAATAAAAAAAACAGCCCAAGGATGATAAGGTCCAGAAAGCTAACAACAAAAAGTAAGGAAGAAGGCTACAGATTGAGGGAGCCTACTATATGCATTAACCATAGAAGTTCCAGTTTTGCTAAGCCATTTATCACACCACCATGGGGCCTTCAGGTGTTGATTACAGATTGCAATAACATAATAAGGGGGGCAGACATGCAAGTAACCTTCTCCTCCCATGTCTACATAGAGGGTAACCTATTGGTGGATTATTTGGCAAGTCTAGGACACTCCATCAATATTAACTCAAGTGAACTGTATCAAGAATTTTAACTTAATTATTTAGGCATTCTTAATACTAGCAGAAGAGTTACCCACAGATTTTTGTAGCTTCCTTTTCCTTCTACTACCAAAAAACAAAACCTTGTTTAGTGCATTAAGCTCCTATATGCAAATTAACCATCACATATAACTCCCAGTAGAGCCTAGTGATTGTTATTTAGCTCCAAGTCCTAAATTTCTCTCTAAAAAACAAATACATTTTAAAATTTCCAAATAAATTTCAGGTTGACAAATTTTGCAGAACTTTCCTGTTTTCAAGAATTACATAATATAGGTAAATCCACATATCCCCTATCAAAGTTATTGCATTGGAAGGAAAATAACAATTTTCTATCCCCTCCTAGGAATACACATTTGTTTTTATCCTTCATTCCTTTTCTTTAACTTTTTGTCAGTTTAAGCACTAATGATTTTAGGATTTGACAATTTGTTTGCTGATATTATTCTAAACTTTGATGGCTTTAGAACTCCTATCTTCAGAATATATCAACAGAAGTGTTTCACAACATGTGTTTTAATCATTGGAATTTTTAAAAAAAAAAAAAACATCACTGGGATTATAGTCTATTTACCATCTCGATACACCCCATTAATGGTCAATTTTTTATTAATGACAAAGAATTCTATCAAATATTTTATTTATAATAAAGAATTGAGAATACAAGAAACAAAGCAAATAGTTACAGTCATACCACAGAAAGGCAATAAAAAAGGATTAAAAACTACAAATTGAAAACAGCACATGGTGAAATCCATAGCCCATTTAAAAGCACCTGAAAGGCCCATTTTTAGCAGAGTCCAGCAGATCATTTACCAAGAAAAAGATGCAAGAGAACGAGGTATTACATTTCATCCCACAACGCAGATTTCTTGATAAATCCTGGAGGAAACCATTCTTCAGAAGATGTTACCTTTTTGATAAGTTAGATGATTTCATGTGTTGAATCACCTTGAATAAAGGCTTGCTAGAACAAGGACTAATAAGTTGAAAGCTGTTACGAAGAAAGAGAAAAGGCTCCACTCTATTAGGCTGATCAGAATCTGTCAACTGCAATAGCATAAAAGTAAGCTAACCATATTTGTTTCTCCAATCTCTCCCAAATTCTGATTCCTCAATTGGTCCACAGGTCCAGATAGCCAAGAGGGAACATCTGGAAAAGTTAATTTTAACAGACTCACAAGGAGAAAAGTCCAAGAAGCAGTCAAGCTACAGGGAGCCTGAGGAAGAAGATAACTAGCAATCTACACCCAGTTAATGACAATGTAAGGGTGTTTTATCTCTAAACACTGATTCCTGGAAGTCGATGCCATTTCTTTAACCATAATCTCATCAACCATGCCTTTGAGAGTAGTGGTTTCTTCTCGCCTTCAAATAGGCTCCAACTTCATTCTTCCCATATTCCTCAAATGGATATTTAGCTAAAAGTTCTCCAATAAACTTTTCCCCATTTAAACCTCCAATTCAATGAAGGCCACAAAGATCATTGATGTCCTTAGGAAAGACCTAGGGGATATTGGAAACTTAGAACAGGTAATACAGACCCTAGGTGGACATTTTGCAATTAACAGGCAGATGACGACAGTTTCTCTATCCTAAATACAAATGTTACAGTCTCCAATGAAAATGACATGCTAATTAAAAAAATAATGCAAAATAAAGTATTCATTTCATGGATCCTATTTTAGAAAACTCTGGCATTTGGGAGAAAATTGATTGCCAGTCTTAATGAAGGAGATCTGAAAGAGAAGAAGGCATACTAATGACATTTTGAGAGGGGGGGTTTGGAAGAAAAGGATGCTTCAGAACTAAAAAGACCATACTCCAGAATTGGTTTCACTGTAACAAAAACCATGTTTAGAACAGTCATGAGGACGTGAAGCTATATGATCAGAACCAAATATATTCACTAAATAAAAGAGATAAAGGACATTAAGATACTATGTTTTTGCATTTGCAAAATAAGTATGGTAGCTTTTCCTTAGAAAATAAGGGTGTAGGTAAGGTGGCGGCTAGGCTAGGGAGGTGGTCTCTTTGAAAGATAGAGAAAGACCGAGGATAGGGGAATCAGTCCGGAGGCTAGGGCACGAAGGGAGTAACAGGATGGGAGATCAGTGATGAGGATACTCGGTGATTGAATGAATTTCGTTATGAAAAGGATCTCTATATATGGGGAAGATCCCGAGATCCTGAAAAGAAGGAACTAAAGGCGTTTGTCTTCTACTAGGAAAGTGAATATTGGATTCGCTGTCAATCATTAAGAGCACTGCTAGGGTTTTGCCACGTGTCCCTATGGGGATCTGACCGAGGATTGACTTTCCCTTCACTTGGAGATCCTCATAGCTCACGTGTGCTACTACCCTTTTGCACCTTACTTAACCGACATGGCGCTAGTGACGCCATTGCCTGGCAGGCGGCATTTTATTAGACCTACATGGCACCTTGTTACGTTTGTCACTTTGATATTATGCATGCAGCTAATACCCGAGTCTGGTTCTTAACGAACTAGGATCTAGTAGCAGTTTAGGGTTCATCGCGGGGCCGGGTGTGTGTAAAGCCTCATTGCAGGTTCATCTTGAGCTTGCTAAGAAAATGTTTATCGCAAGCGTGCGGTGAACCGTGGGTTCATCGCAGACCTGCAATGCATTGTAGGTTCATCACAGAAGAAAGGTTGGCTGCAAGCTAATCACAAGCGTCAATGTGGTATCAATCCAATGTTTGCTGTGCTCTGAGGGACTGAACGAGCACTATGCACCTACAAAGGGCATTTCTGATCGTCGTACATTTACCTGTTGCTCTTTTCCCCCTTTACCTGTTACTTCCCCAAATCAAATATAAACTGCTAAACACCTTTGCCCGTGAGAATAATTATTTAATTATTATCAACTATTTTATACTGTTTTTGGTTGGAGACATCAAACAAATACAATATAATTAGGGGTGCTCACGATTCAGTTAACCGAACCGTGGGGCATTTTTTAGAACCAAAAACCGGTACTACCGGTAACTGGAACCAAACCAAAACCAATCGGTTAACCAGTTGACTGGTTCAGTTAACCGATGGTTCGATTTTTTGGTTTTCAGTTTTTTAATTTTTATAATATAATATTATAAAAATAAATAGAAATATATAATAAAATATTATATTTTAAATAATATATAATATATAATGTATTATAAATTTATATATATATAATGCATATTTATTAATTTATAATATATAAGATATATATAATATATATAATATACATAAATATATATAAAATATATAGAAATATATGTATACTGGTCAGTTCAGTTAACTGCCGGTTTTTTATATTTGTTAACCGAAATCGAGTTGATACCTTCGGTTTTTTAAAAACACCGAACTGAGCAGTTCGGTTAACCGGTTTTTCGGTTCTGTTTCGATCAGTTTTTTCGGTCGGTTCGGTTTTTATATTTTTTTTCTCACCCCTAAATATAATTACATATTGTGTTAAGGAAAAATGTTTCCTACTAGACCCTTATCTAAGGGTGTTTGACTTGTTTCTATAGCATGCTTATACCAGTTAAAATGACTACCTAGTATCTACCTTTGCATGGTCCGAAAACCTCACACTGATGTTATATACTGAAATTTGGGAGTAGGAATTTGTTACCCTAGAGTCCTACCAGCATCAGCGATGATCGGTATAAGTGGAGCAGCGGCACAGACAAACCGAGCCGTTTCCGCCATTTCTGGAGGCCTGATATTTTAGAAAAAAAAAGGTATAGTCAGATTTAACAAAAAAAAGCAAAAGGAAACTCAGAAAATGAAAATGAAGAAACACGAAAAGAGAAAGGCAAGAAGGAGGAAGAAGATAGGTGTAGAGAGCAGAGTGGCGTACGTTAGCAAGCCAAAGTCGGGTTTGCCGAGGCGAGAAGCAGAGAGGGCATAGCCGGAGATAAAACCGGCACTGAACCCGGTCTTCTGAACGATGGCAGCAGACAGGGCGTCGTAGCATCCCGGCATGAGGACGATCCCTTGTTCCTCGATCAGACGGTGAATGCGGGTCCGCATCCTCACCATCGGATACGCCGACATGTTGTGGTTTTTCGACCGAAACGCGGTGTTAGGGCAATGTATCATACCGGCTTTCATGGCAACCATCGTCGACATTTCTGAGGGAGAGAATAGCAGAGCAGAAACAGTGACGATGGCTGCCTGGGGTTTTGTTGGGTTTTAACTTTTAACCTCTCTTTTCAGAGTTAAAGATGAGTTATCCATGATCCATCTTTGTAACCTTCTTGTCGGCTTCACGGGGTTATCGTCATCGTGGAGTCTCCAAAAATCCAAATTATTTTTTTAAAGGCAAAACATCTTATTTCATTCAATTATGAAAATTATAGAGTAGTGGTCACACACTCACACTACCAAACAACAACAAAGTACATGATAACAGAAAAGTAGTAATAAAGTAAGAAATACGCATACAAGTATTTAGAACAAAATATTCATAATGCGATACTAATTAAAATTTTAAAATTCTAAAATCATAACTGCTGGAATTGGTATCGCCAAAATTGGAACAATTGGAAATTTAACCATCCGATAAAAGTAACTGTATTGGAAGTGAAACCAATTAGAACTTTAATCACCTGGAACTGAGACTGCCAGAACTCTAATCATCGGGGGTGGAATCAATTAAAACTTTAACCATTTATAACTTAAAGTGTTGGAATTGTTATCGTCAAAACTGGAACAAACTAGAATGTTAACCATCCAGAAATGTAATTATCGGATTTGTTATCATCAAAACTGGATCCACCCGAATCTTTAAGTGTTTGTGAAGTAAAATAAGGAAATAATCACCAGCGATGAATCAAAAAGAATAAAAGAAAAAATTAAAAAAAAAAAGAGAAGAAATGAAAGAGAATGGAGGATTGGATCGAATTAATCAAGAAGAAGAGAGATGAGTGAGGGAAAAGGAGAATGGAAGAAGAAAATATATAAAAAAAAAGGGAGAGAGTGAGAAGAAAAAGAACGACTAAAATGGAAAAAAAAAAAGAAGAACCCGAGGAGATGAAAACTGTCTCAAAGAAGAGAGAGGAAACCTCCCTCCCCCCTGTTTGACAGGGGGAGAGAGAGAGACAAGACTCACAGTCGCCTGATTTCCAAACGATACATTTGATACAGGCATATTGTATTCGTATTTATGCTCATCGACACAGAATACACTTCAATTCTACACATATCCTATCAGTCATACGTATTAGTACGATATTCTACTGTACCGATATTAGTATGTATTGCATTGTATTAATGGATATGGCCCAATATTCATCCAATTTTAATTTGACAATATATTCAGACATTGATTTAAAATTTAATTTTTTATAAAATTTAATAAGAAATAAAAATTATAAAATTAGTTTATGTTATTTATCTTAAATAATTTATATATTCCAAGTACACGATGTAAGGAAGTATGGTGTGAGCAATGTTTTGTGATGATTGAATCCGAGTTTGGGGAATATATAGAAAAGTAGAAATAAAAAATAAAAAAAAAAAACTTTCAATAATGAGTATATTCCTCAAATGATTCTCTGGAGAGCTCTAAAAGCTTACAAGGAAAATATCGATTTCAGTTTTTAATATATATATATATATATATATATATATATACGGTGCTATGCACCATTAATAACTTCCCCTTCACCCATTTTTCCTTAAAGTGCTGGTTATATGATTTGGTTCCATGTCAATGCTGGAACAAACCAGTTTTGAAAATATTTTGATGAACTTGACAAAGATGTTGAAACAAATAGTATGGCATCCTCCTAAATTTAACACTTCCAAGATAAATTTTGATGCATCCTATTCAAATAATGGGATGTGTTCAATTGCAACTATACTAGAAATCAGTTTGGAGAGGTTGTGGATTACAAGGCTTATTGGAGTCCCATGATCTGATAGCAAATTTCATGAACAACCCCGTCGTCATCATCGTCGTCATCATCATCATCATCATCGGTGGCTCAAAACTTGTGATCTCATGCCTGAAGCTCATCACCTACCCTCGTTCAAGTTGAAAATTCATCTAAATGAAGAGATTCATTATAAGCACACATGTTCAAAGAAGCCAATGTAGCTCTTTTGTCTTCCCTAGGCTCTGTTGATTTTACTCTTGGAAGATTAGGCTCTGTTAATTTTAATCTCAGAAATCTTCCAGGACCTTTCGTTGTTATTTGTATCAGTGATTTAAGGGGAAGTAATACTTGTGAAGAAATACATCTAATCTATTATATAACACCCAACAAGTTTCTAGAATAAAATAGCACACTTCAACACATGAGTTGAACCATAAAGATTTTTACCAATCTTGAGTCCTTTGCTACTGTCATACGTGTTGAGCGTAGCTCTCATAATCCCGTTTCAGGGTAAATTTGTACTTTGGTTCACTTTTGCCTGTTTTTGGAAACATTACATTTATGCATTGATAAATGACAGACCAATGCATATTTACATTAATAATAAGATATAAAAGTACATCAATAAAAAAGAAGTAAATTTGCATTCAAGTGGGCTTTTGATAAAAAAAAACATATACTTTATTGAAATTCATGCTTGCATCCATTACAGCTAAAAATCTGTTTGTAAGAAGTAAATTGATTAGTGCAAAACTAACCCAATTTTACAATTTATATGAACCGTTTTACACTCTACATATTTACAATCACACTTATTTGCATTGTTTCCAAAGGCAGCCGAAGTTGAGAATAATTACATTTATGGGTGAAAATATTTTTTCCACATAATTGATTTTTACTAAGGCTCTATTTGTTTGCAATGCAAAATCTGAATTGAATGCAAATTTTGTACTTAGACTATGATTTGCACTCTTATCTAATATAAAATTTTTACTTTCTGTTTTAGTTCACTCGTTAATGGTGAAAATTTCTATCCAAAAGTTGATGCAAAATTTGTACCATCTTCCTCCTGTCTCAATTCTCTCTCATGTAAAATAGGGACCACATCACCATGCTTTCTCTCTCACACTTCACTCTTTCATGTAAGATGGGGGCCACATGAAAAGCAGAAATTACGCTCAATCTATGCGCATTCCTATGCATTTACACTAGTGAAAATTAAATTTATACTACAAACAAATACAACTTAAAGTTGCATTGCAAATCTTGATCAGGTGCAAAATTTATACCTGGTTCAATTTTGATTTTATTTATCTATAATTATGATTTGCACTCCTACTTTATACACAATTTGTTCTTTTTACCTCTTTTGTACTCAACGGCAATGAAATTTTTGAATCTCACAATTTATCAAAAAGGAAAAGAAAAACATCTCAAAAGACTATTTTCACCACCTCCCTCTCACCTCAATTCTTTTTCAATATAAAGTGGGGACCACATCATCCTGCATCCTACTAATCCCCCTCTTGCCTCTATTCTCTTTTATTTGAAGTGAAGGTCACTTCATTTTACTTCTCACAAATAAATAATACAATAAAAATCTGAAACAAAAGTAGACCAAAATTTACACTCAACCCTTTTGCACTCATGTATTTACACCAATGCAAATGAAATTTGTACTGCAACCAAACACAACACAAGATCAACCAACCTGAGTAACATAAGAACTGGGGCATTAACCCATTTGCATCGTTTGATTTGCAGATCTTCAAGAAATGAATTTCAGTGGTTTTGGTTTCTGGATTAAGGATGTTTCAGATTCTTTTCTGTTTGCAAAATGTGGGCCTTGTAAGGCCAAGTCTGTTGAATATGCTGAGGTCTTGGCTATTTTAGATTGTTGGTTTACTGCATTAATCCTGAGAGTGAAAAATCTTGTAATAGATTGTGATTCTCTTAATTTAGTTAATTCTTTGAATCAGAAATCATTTGGCTGTTCGCCTGGTGTTTGGCCTTTGCTGCAAGATCTGTATAGGCTAGTTGAGCAGCTGGATTTTAGTTTAGTATTTGTTAGTCGTACTCTAATGATGCAGTTCATGAGCTTGCTGCTAAAGGAAGCTCAGGGATGTCTGCATTTTTGGAGGATTGCGTTGGTGTTTCTCTGTTTTGATGTTGGTGCTGAGGTTGTGGTTTGCGTTGATTTTCAGCCTCCGTAGTTTGTTTGGTTCTGTTTTTTTTTTCTTTTTTTATTTGCTGTAATTTTCTGTTCTGTTTGTTTCTCTTGTTAGGCTAACTGGGTCTAATTTGGATTTAAATTTCGAATGATGTTTATCAGATCAGATTGGAAATTCCAAACTGATCACCTATTTTAGTAGTTACTCCCTCAACCGAATTCCCATCTGTGCCCCACAGAGCGTGCCCCATGGACACCCAACAGCACATATCAACCGTATATTGGTAACATCTCCCAGTGACTTGAATGCCGGAGATTCCACCCTAAAAACGAACTCTGGGGTCAGGTTGCAGGTCACCGGAATCCAGAGGTCCTTTCCTTTCTTCTCCTCATTGTAGATCCGAGCAGTATAATGTTATAGATTAGCTAGAAATAGGATCCTATCTCTGTATCTCATACTTACCTCATTTCAGCACTTGATAAAAAAAAAAAGCCAATGACAATGAGAATGACATAGGCTTCATATTGATCCCAAGAATAGGTTAGGTTGGGCTTAGGTTGTACATGGGCTCCGAACAAAAACTTCTAGCCCAACCCAATCCATATGTTGTCGCCTTGTCGGTGACACAAAGGCCAATTGATTTATCAGCAACTTGACTCGTGATATTTGTAACTGTTTGCTTGTGAATCCAAAAATAAGTAAGTTGTCTTCTACCTAACAACGAGGAAACAGTATTGAATTATTGACGTAAATGGAAACATTTTTCACCTCGATAGAAAATGTCTAAAGTTCTACCCTTAATACTGGGCCAACCATATCATCATCTGTCAAGCTGATGTTTCATATCGTGATTGGCCAATGAATTCAAAATGCCAAGTGTAAAAATGACGACTTCTTCGTAAGTGCATTCGGACCTGATGTTTGACGTTTCCTTTTCTTCAAACACAGATCTACCTTGGAGGCTTCATGCAATTATACTTGAGTGCAGGCACTTGATTTCAAATTTCTCATCTCCAAGTTTCCATTTTACATCTCGATCCTGTAATAGATTACCTCTCGAGCTAGCTAAATATGCCTTTAGGCATAAAATTTCGATGGCCTGGTCATCTCCACCAGAGTTTGTCAGGTGATCTCTTGTATTGGATGAGATGCAGTTCTTGAATCAATAAATCTGTCCTTGGCTGAAAAAAAAAAAAAAAAGTCAATCTAGCTCCAATGAAGAAACCCTTCAAAATAGGCTCTCTTAGTTAGAGATTTACTTATTACATATGATGGGTCTACCTTATAGTATTACCCAGCATTTCTTCTAAATTGATATGTCAATCCTAATATTTTTTTTCCCTGTTGCTGGCTAAGTTAATTTCAGGCTTAGGGGCAATTGGATAACAACTGAAGTGACTTAACTAAATGGTTCATTTTCTTATATGAATAAATTATTTAGTGGGTCCCAAGCTCAATTAATGCAGGGTATAGGTACCCTGTCCCTATCTGGATTATATATATATTATGTTATTTAAAATATTATTTATATTTTAATTTTCAAATTTTAAATATTTTATTAAAAACATATTTTTAATTAAAAATTAGGGGATTCGGATGTGAAACCCGTTTCATATGGAGGCTAAATTTTTACGAAAATCGGGATCGGAGCGAGGAATATTTTAAAAGCCCGTTGCCAATCAAAATCAAGCACAATTAATGGAAGGGGAATGGGTACTCATCAATACAGTTATTGTTTAGTTAGTTCTTGGATACAACACCTCTCCAAGGTTCCAGTCTCCCACCGAACCTCTTAAGAAAATCTTGGTGTCAGATAGAGATAAGACCAGACTTACCTCCAACGTAATGGCCATTGTGGATTGTTGTTATTAGCCCATTTTAATGAGCCTCACCCCTTCCAAACCTGAGCCACCATATAGCCTTTATCGTGACTTTGGCCCTGACCTCATTTTCAACATATGGGACCCCCTCCCCTTCCCATCAGTTGTTTTCTCCCATACAAACCCCTATAATAACAAGCCTTAGCTCCATTCCTGCTTGAATCATCTCTCAGCTTTCTTGATCTTCTTCTTGGTAGCTATCGATCGGTGTGTTGTTGTTGCTGATTGTTGGAAGAGCTACTAAAGATGGCTCGGGGAAGAGGCAATGCATCTGCAGTGGTGATCCTTGGGCTCACACTACTCTGCCTGCTTGTTCACTGTGAGATGGTCCATGCCGCAACCTTCATGGTCGGGGATGCTGGTGGTTGGACATTTAACACCGCTGCCTGGCCTAATGGAAAGAGTTTTCGGGCTGGTGATGTACTTGGTAAGGACATCTTACGACGTTGATGATGATGATGATGCAAATAAACCTTATTGTTTCTTTGTGTTTATGTTGTGTTTTGCAGTTTTCAGGTACAGCCCAGCGATCCACAACGTAGTTGCAGTAGACAGAAATGGCTACAACAGTTGCACCACCCCAAGAGGTGCTAGAGTGTTGACAACGGGGAACGACCAGATCAAACTGGCTAGGGGACAGAACTACTTCATCTGCACCATTGCTGGCCACTGTCAGGCTGGAATGAAGATTGCCGTCACCGCTGCTTGATCCAATCAGCTTTGAGCAGTACTACTAGTTCTCTTAGAGAAGCAGCATACCGTATAATTATATAGCAGAAAATAAAGTAGCTAGTATAATATAATATCGTCAAATCTTACTGTAATAGATGGATTGGGATTTGGAAATATAAACTTTTGTGTGACAGTAGAGAGTGGCTTCTGAATATATAAACGAATATTTGATTTAGTACATGGCCATGTTGCAGATGAGTTGGTGGGTTAGTGATACCGAGTTATTATTAGAAAAATATTAATCCTTTAAAAGTGAAGTTTAGTTGATGAGTCAATTACAAACCCATATATTTGTCAAGTTTCTTATTCTTATGTCCCTGTATTGCTTGGCAATCTGGACCAGATATCCCTCAAACATACCTGGAAAAACCAATCTAGTTTTTCCCAAGTTCAGGCCATTAATGCATATTAGAGTCTGGGACTCTAGCTGGGTTTGCACTTCCCAAGAAGACCCACTCCAAAACCCTACTCTCTGTTTGGACGTTGGTGTCTTTCGATGGCCGTGCAACTTGAGTGGGTCAGGAATCAGCATGGGACGTAGACCCAAGCGCTCTCTTCCCCTAGGACAATGAGTGAGACAAAATGATCACTGTAGTTCTCTACTGTGGGTAAATGGGTATTGCAAAAAGGGGTGGCAACGAGTTGACCTTTTCATGAGTTGTTTGAACTCGGCAGGTGAAAAGTTCAGTTCGGCTCCATTACAACCGAGGTTCAAGCCAAGTTCGAGTCTAGTAGAATCCGGCTCGTGAGTTCGGCAGGTGAAAATATTATAATTCTTAATTTTTTAAATTTCAAATAAAAAAATATTTTTATATATAATTTTTTATTTTTATAAAATATTTTTCTTAAAATAAAGTTTGAGCTGAGCCGAACTCGAGCTTATGAATTTTTGACTCGAGTCAAGCCTAAACTCAAGATTCTAGCTCGAATTAAGCTCGAACTCGAACATTTTAAAACAGTCTCGAGCCAAGCTCAAACCTCGTACTATTTGACTTGATTCAGCTCAAATCCACCCCTAAAATTTGCAATAAGCATCTTAGTGCACCCACTTCAATATGTATTGTAGTGGGTAATTGAAAGCTCAAAAGGCCTTTACATGTCTGTCTTGCTAATTTTTTTCAAATCAACATGGAGCCTTAAACCACAAAGTAACCCCATGAATAGATTTAACTTATTAAAATCTATGATGCAGGAATTCTGGAAAGAACATCATACCAAAAAGGCTTTAACCAATCACAACCCCATGAATTTTGGTGAAAACCCACATTAATTGTAAGTTTAGTATCATGTCTTTTTGGCATCATAGTCGGATCCTTTTAATTAATTAATATAAAACATGCAACTAAAAGGTCCTTTCTCAACAAATTTTATATATTTGTTGACAAAAATGATGAATTTATGATGCCAGAAATGCTTTGATCAATCAATACTCCTCCTGAATTTTAATAAATACCAATTAGAGGTACCAAATCGAAGGTTGATTGGTTATAAATTCTTTTTAGATATCATGTCTTTCAAGGTGGGCCATAGGGTTGATGTAACTAAAATGACAGCTGCGGGTTGAACATCTGGCCAATCAAAAGGGTTTTCCATATGGTGGTTCATTTGAATCCACCAAATCATTCCTCCATGAGGCAGAATTAGGTTAAGTTGTGCAGAGAGGAACTCCCCATTTCAATAGTTTTGGGTCTAGTTAAGGAGCTTTCCTACATGAACCCGAAATGAGAAAGGATACTGGATACCTCCCAAACTGGTGAATATTCAATTTGGAGAAAACTTTTGTATTTTTTTTTCCTTGAAGCGGGGTTATTTTGCACATTTAGCAAGGTGTTACGGGCTGAATTTTTTTTCCATAAATATAGGATAGGGAAGGACTTAGAGACCAGCTCGCTCGGATCTGCTACTCACAAGAACACCATCCATCCATGACGACATACAGGTTCGGGACTCGGGAGATGTTTGGCTGCAGTGTCTAGTGGGGTGGGTGTGGGTAGCGTTATTGTAGATAGCAGAGCCGAGCCCAAATAAAATTGCGTATTAGGGTGCAACTTGGGTCAGGTTGGGCTGAGAATTTATTAAATTTTGAATGGGCTTAAACCATAATAACCAAGCCCAATGTAGTTTAAATTATTCATCCCAAGTAACCTGACTTGAACCCCTTCAGGAATGGAGCACAGGCATCACTTATCTCCTTTTTGCCACCTTAGGCAAGGAATCTCTTCTTGGTTTATTTACCATTTTTATATGCAGTTATGGCTAACAAAATAGGGGCCGTAAGTTAGGGATACTCCTTTGGTACCTCTAAGTGGTCTACCGAAAGCCTATAGTGTCCAGAGGATATAATCAGAAGAAATGGTTTACTTTCATGCCTTCATCTAATGGATCTGATCACAGGAGGACCCCTTACGGGATTTTACTAGCTTGGTGGAAGGAATAGGAAGCTGGAACAAGCGGAAGATTCGATCGGTCTCAAAGACACCCACCACCACAAAAATTGAGTGTGGGGACCCAATACAAAATTAAGCTTCCAATGGGCGTGAGGAAATCTCACCTTATCCACACTCCCACCACAACCTTCTATTGCACATAATCTCCTCCACTCCACATCATCACGAAATCTATAAACAAAACAAAGACAAACCACCATTAACAACCATCCTCGACCTTATTCTGCTCAGTCAATTGGACTGAATTCTCTCTTGTCCTCACAGTTGATTGAAGCAATGGCAGCCATGAACTCCAGTGTGTTAGCTTGCAACTATGCCATCTCCGGCACGGCATCATCCGATGCCAATTGGAAGCTTGCAGCTATGCCGTCTGTTGCAACCCCAGTTGCATCATCTCCCAGGTTGCCGATGATCAAAGCCCAACAAGCTAAAGTTTCCGAGTCAAAGGTAGAGGGAGGGAGCGAGGGACGTAGAGCTGCACTTCTTTGCCTAGCCGGTGCTCTTTTCGCAACTGCTGCCTCTACGTCTTCCGCCAATGCAGGGATCATCGAAGAGTACCTCGAGAGGAGCAAAGCTAACAAGGTCAGTTGATATTGTTGACGCTACATCTCTTATAATCATCATATCTATATCTCCGCAACAATGAAACTTAATTCTAGACATCAATGGTGCGTACAGGAACTAAATGACAAGAAGAGGTTGGCCACAAGCGGAGCAAACTTTGCCCGTGCATACACAGTAGAGTTTGGCACTTGCAAATTCCCAGAGAACTTCACGGGCTGCCAGGATCTCGCCAAGCAAAAGGTTTGTTTGATGCTTTCTAGGCCTGTGTTCTCAGTAACCCCAGCTGGATTTTTAGTATGTTTGGTTCTGATTTGTGCCGTTTGGTGTGCAGAAAGTGCCTTTCATTAGTGATGATTTGGAGCTGGAATGTGAAGGAAAGGACAAATACAAGTGTGGTTCTAATGTCTTCTGGAAATGGTGAAAGACTGGAAGAGGCAGCTCTACCCTACCCAACCTGTATTTAAATGATTCCTATTAAATTTTCCACTGGGAATCCCTTTCGTCCAATTGTTCTGTAATCCTCTGTTTTCTCGTTCATGTTCCAATTGCTTCTTGTTTTCTGTTAATTACCCAAAAAGAATTACTGGGACTGAGAGTGTGGATGGAGACAGAGGAAGTGGCCTGCTTATGATTGATCCATTATTTTTGAAGAGAAAATGTATACTTTCCTATGCCAGATGCTTAGCATTTCCACCTCAACTGTTTAACCATTTTATAATAGTACAGTGGTATAAGGCTCTCTACAAATAGGTTATGTTAGATGTCTTCTCCTTTCTTCTGTACTTGTTTCTTGCTATGAGAGTGCAGGTAAACGATCAACGCCATAAGAGTTGCAGATGACATAGTCTGCCTCATACCTCCTCGTTTGTTGGTCAGCGTCCTACATTCAAGGCTTGTAGGGCATTATCTGATATATGTGTCTTCTCTTGTGATTAATCATAAAATGGTTGGCGAAATAAGACTTAAATACCAAGGAAACATCAGAAATACAAAAAGGGCTTATTTGATTTTCGGTTCTGTTCCATTACTCTGCTTACAATTCTGGCATCAGCATTGATCAATTGTGAAAAGTAAAAACAAGAACCCTTATATAAATTTAATTTATAGTTCCTCTGTACAATTTACAATTCTCTGTATAGAAACTGATGAATGTCAAATATACCCGAAAAAAATTGATATTGATACACTCAAAAAAAAAAAAAAGAAAAAACGAAAACAATGAGGATTGTTTTTCTTGTCCAAGCTCTGGCTTATCAATAGGTATACTCCGCATCCACCCAATTCAATCCAGAATGAAATTAGCCAGACATACCAAAGTTTGACACTGAAAGTTGAACTTTTAGGTGCGTGAATAATTCTCCACAGCATTACAATCCAATTTATCAACCTTGTCATGCAACCTGCACATGTTTGCATCAACTCAATCTGATCATGCTCGAGCAGGGATCACCATCAAACTTGGTCTGTTGGGAGTTGTACCCAGGTTCTGGATGAAAGTTCCATTGGACTATCCAATTAAACCCAAGCCTCTTAAATCTCTCACCGTGATCACTCGTACATGATGCCCTGAAGGTCAAAACTTTGGACAGCTGAATGAGTTGTTCTGAAGCTGCAGGCATGGCATTGGAAATACCTCAACAACATCACCTGTGATGTATTCACAATGCCATGTTTCTGAAGGACCTAATCCCAATAGACTAATATTTCTCAAACATATCCTTTCAAATAGTGCATTCTCAATACCCTGTAGAACTGGTGCTTTTCCTGTGTTGACACTAACAACATTACTTATGTAAATGTCTTTTACTGAAGGAAGTGAATTGGGGTCCCATCCCTTATCAGGGTGATCATTAGAACCTCTGCTGAACCTTATGGGTACCTTCACCCTTTCCATGGTTATGTTAGTGATGGTGATATTGCGTATGTATCCTCCTCTTCCCTTATCAGTCTTCACACGCACCCCGGCTGCTGAGTCTCGGACATGGAGTTCTTCCACAAGTACACCTGATATTCCACCAGACATCTCACTACCAATTCCTACTCCAGAGCATGTTGGAGTTGTACCTGACACCTTCCTCACTATAATGTTCGTGCTTGGACGGGCCATGGCGATTCCATATTGGTCCCATCCACTCTTCACTGCCACAAGATCATCTCCACTCTCAATGTAACAGTCTTCAATGCACACATTTTTGCTCGAGTCTGAATTAATTACAGAATAGATCAGCATATGAATGAAGATTGCAAATGGTGGATTAGTTTGAGGGTAGTCTCTCCTTCCAAACTTAACGTACATTTTTAATCAACCATAAATGCTTTGTTGAAAGAAACAGCAAGCATACCTGGGTCTATACCATCTGTATTTGGGGCGTTTAGGGGAGCCAGAATAGTCATTCCTTTGATGACAACATTACTGAAACATGACGCATTTAGAAATCAATTAGTTCAGACTTTCAAATAACTTAGAAAGCTAGCTGGAGGAGCAATCACATGTATCAAGAAATCATTCATCCTAGTTTTTATAAAGAGGGCACGGCACGTTCAGGAAAGCTCACATCCCATGTGAATGTACTGTTCTGCCATGATGCAAAAGGCATCGCTGGCATCACTGAGGCTGTGATCATAAAGGCTCCAGCAGCTTACAATAAATCACACCCCCCACAGGCCCAAGATTTAACCATCCATATGGGTATTTTATTTATTTAATCCCATTGTTTAGTTTTGATTGATTGGCGAATTAGAGACAAGGGAAGTCATACCTGCAGTAAACAGGATGGATAGTCCAGAAGGGAGAATTCAGGAAAGTGAGGTTGGAAATGAGAATGTTGTGAGAGTTCAGGAGTTCAAGCAGGTGACCCCTAGTGTACACAAGTGATCTGTTCCACCACATGTCCCACCACATCTTCCCCTGACCATCAATTGTCCCATTTTGTCCTGTGACAGACCAAATTAAGCACCCATAAATATTAAAATCAATATTAAGTCCTGAACAATCTGTAATCTGTAATCTGTACACATTTTGAGCTTCTGTTCAAGGAAGATAATCGTAGGTGTCACCAATCAAATGGTAATGGTGGGACCTACCCCCTGGATGGTCATCACATGGGTATGAGCTTGGTAGAGACTAGAGAGTCCTACCCATTGATGTGTCCATCTAGAAGAGAATCCTAATCATCTAACAAGCTGGCTATTTGACATAATTGAGCAAATGGTGATACACATCTTACATGATTATCTGGACCACGTAAGACTTTGCTAGTGGGTGTAATCATAGCGAGTGATCAAGTGGATAAACACAGAACTGTGTCTAGTGTCTGTGTTGGAAGTCCATTTGTAGAATAGCCCGAAGTTGGACTGGTTTAGTACTGGTCAACCCTGTTCTTGAAAAAACCGGGATGAGTAACTCGGTACTCGGTACGTACACTGAGATTCAACCCAAACTCAAACCAGGTGGGACTACGGTTTAGCCAACATTAACTCGAACAGAGCTGGACAACGGTGGGTCGGGTCAAAATTTCAATCCCTATTTAAAAAAGGGAATCAATGAATCTAAAGGTTCACATGACCAACACATAAAGATTAATATAACAGGCAACAACCATTAGGGTTTGAAGAATCATGATCAAAGAACATAAAAAAACTATTATTTGCACAGAGAAATGAATGCAAGAAATACTTAAAAAAAAAAATTAGATGGTTACTATGGGAGATGTACCAGTAATGACAACGTTAGTGAGACCATCTCCATGAATGAGGCTAATGTGTCTCCCTCCCAGTCTCTCCCTTCCTCTTCCATAGGATGGCAATGGCTCTATCACGGGCCATTCCTCTGTATTCTATTTAAACAATAAAACAAATGATTACTGTTCAGTTAACAAAGTATATCTGAATTCTCTGCAAGAAAAAGAGAACATTGTTGTTTTCTTCAATGGCTTCTATCATATCACCCAGTAATTAGATTGACAAAAGAAGCTCAGCAGAGCAAATCAGGAAATCAGGAATCTACTGTTCCATTGTTCGTTACATCAAAAGAGCCATAACCGTTGATTTGGTAGCTCATGGTGAAGCTGCTGACATTCTCCCGCTGTCAGCCTTTCTTCTCCGGCCATCATACGTTAACGTTTCAGGTCAAACGTATACTAACATGATTCACTCATGAAAATCCAATACGAATTCACAGAGGAAAGAACGGAAAAGATCATTTAGTCAAGCTTTCACCCTTTAATCCCATTAGAAATTTGAACAAGAAAAATAAAAAATCTGAAAATTTCCATACCTGAGAACCAAGAATAATAGCGTCCTCTTCAAGAAAAAGCGTGAAATTACTGGTTAGATTGAAGCTTCCAGTAAGCCACCTTCCTCTGGGAACGATGAGCTTGGAACCTCCTTTATCTCCGAAACGCTTCAAGTATCGTATCGCCCTCTGAAACGCTTTTGTATTCGACGTTAGACCATCACCAACACCTCCGAAATCTGTTATCGACCTCACAACCTTTCTCGGTGGTCCTTCTCGGAAAAACCCAGAACAGCTACGTGGGTCCTCCGGAAAACCGATTTTCTCAGAACCCAAAATCATCCGTATTGGTAAGACAGATTTTGTGGTTATCTGAAGCCAAGAAACCGCTATAACCGTCGTTACCAGTAGCAAAACCGGCCATGAAGGCCTCCTAAAACCACCCCAAATGTTCAGAAACAAGGGTTTTTCTACATTCATCATGGAGGAAAGAAGAAAAGAAAAAACAGAGAAGAAGAAGAAGAAGATGAAGAAGAAGGATAGGTGTATGGGATCGCGTAACGAGGGGGAGAAGCCGAGAAGGTTTTTTAGCATACGCGGAGGTGCGTAGTACGCAGTAGGATAGGAGATTGTGGGTGTACACGTCAAAATTCGGGTAAGAAGGGGACGTGAATGGAGGCGTGAGTGGGGTTTGTGCGCATTGCGCACATGGGCGTTTTATAGTAGAAATTGATTATCTTGAGGCTTCATGGTCATGGGGGTTCAAGAGAAGAAGGAAGCAAGCATTCGGGAATCGGGAGACAACGAAAGCGTGATCCGTCCGGTTCGGTGGGGACGACTCAGCTCCTTTTCAATGCGCGTGTAATTAAAAGTTTAAAACTACATTCCGCTCTTCACGGGTTTTTTCTTATTTTTATTATAAATAAAATAATAATCTTTATTTGTTTTTAGATTTTTGTACCAATCATGTGGATCTATGACACGTACTATCTGGTAATTGATCTGGCCGTCCGGTCCTTGATCATTTCTCCACAGGTGGGTCCTTTAAAAAACCAGAGCAGGAACCCCATCTGACGCCAATCCAACGGCTGGGAAAAGCTCTTCCTTGATGGGATCACTTAAAAAGCAAGGTACCGAACGTGCACGGAACAACGAAAGGTTTCTTATGAAATTGGCTTTAAAATGTATTTTTCCAAAGTACAACTGAACAGGTTGTTCACATAAAGTCAACCAAGAAGACCTAAAAATAGTATTTATCTTATTTTCTAATTATTTTTTGGTTAGAGCTTCTACCAAAATATATATAGTTTATGGGTGCAACAGTTTACGAAGACCTTACCAATTACTCTGCAAGATGCATGTATCCGACACGCATAATAAAGGATTTTTATAAATATTTTAATTTTAATGTATTAAACGAAGCTTCGGTTCGTTCATTTCGCTTGTTTGGCTCAGTTTGGAAACAGTACTAATACAAATAAATCTATACTACTTTAAAAAGTAGGAATGGATTTAAGAATATTTTTATAATTTTTTAAGGATATAATTTATTTTTCTATATTAAAATTTATTGATAAAAAATGAGAACAAATAGGATAATTAGTTCTTGATATTAAATGAATTGAAATGAGGTAATTCAAAGATACTCAATGCATTCAATTTTCTCATTAAATCCAATATTTAAGTTATTAACTTGCATTCATATTCATTGAATCATATATTTAAGTCATTTTTATTTCTTCTCATCATTAAGTTCTATTAATTAAATCCATAATAAATTAATAATTCCAAAAACATAAAAGTTTATATTTCTAAAATCTACTTAGCAAAAATAGTGTTTTCAACTAGGTGGTGGCAAGAAATTAAATGATTTTTGGTCAAATGGGTTAATCCATGTTGCCACGATTAAGTAATAAAATTAAAAAATAGAAATTAAAAAATTTGGAACATTTTTAACATGCATATTAAACAATAATAAGTATGATAAATAAGAAATGTTTTTATTAATGATGGAAATGAAATGTAAAATTTAAAACCAATTGGAAATAAAAATATTTTCTTATTCTCTCTCATTAAATCCTATATTTAAAATATATTTTTCTCATCATTAAATTATTCTAATTAAATCCACAATATTAATTTTAACAGTATAAAATAAATATTTTGAAAAGTAATTTGACAACAAAACAACTTTCTTCCCTCCCGGGGAGGGTAAGCAATTTGACCATTTGGGGTCAAATGGATTAATAAATAATGTCATAATTAAATAATAAAAATTGAAATAAATAACTATGAAATGTAAGAAGTACTTTTTATTAATGATGAAAATGGAATGCCAAATTCAAAATCTACCTACAACGAAATGATATCAAAGTCAAATAATAAAATTTTTAATAATAGAAAATATAAAAAATCACAAAAATAAAAAAAAAAAGACAATTAAAATTTTGGGCACATATCTAATGTTATATATTTATAAAAAAATAAAATATTGAGTACACCTATAATATTGTGCATTCACTATATTGAATATAAATAAGTTTTATACATAAGAAATAATTTCATCAATGATCAAAATGTAATACAAAATTTAATGTCAACCTAGAAATCAAACAATTTTTATTTTTAGATGGTGGGTTAGTGGTTTGAGTCAAATGATACCATAGACAAACAAAAATTAAGTGTTATAAGTAAAAATATTTTATACAATGTAAATGAAATATATAATTTAAAGGAAAATTTATAGTCAAAGTCAGTTGTACATTTAAAATTAGGTTGCAAGTTGGTCTAGAAACCAACAAAACTCTAACAATCGGCTCTAGATTTCAAATTACAAAAACCCCCACCAAGTCAAGCAGAGGCTTATGTGGCCGTTGCCAACATAGAACTCTTAGTCCATGTTGGACACAACAAAAAACCTATACCGAAAATAGGTTTTTAATTTCTCTCCCACTCCCTCTGTCTCTCGATCTCCCTTCCTTCTCTCTCACTCTCAAAGTCATCTCTTGATCTCCCACTCCCTTTGTCTCTCCCACTCTCTCGGCTTCGGTATGTAGCCAAATCAAAACCTCTCCCTCTCTCTCTCAATTGTTCTCTCTCAATTGTTCTCCCTCAATCTTTCTCATTCTCCCTCACTCTCCCTCTTAGTTAATATTTCCTTCTTCCTCAATCTCTTTTGTTCTCCAGTTGGTATAATTTCATAGCCAAGAGCTTATTGTGATTTTTTATCAAATTGGTTTAATAATTTTTGAACCATACCAAGTTGGTCTTATGTTCTTTTATAAGATCTGATTAATACCATATAAATGTGTAAGAAAATAAAAAAAAAATGAGAGAGGGAACAGGAGAGAAACAGAGGGAGAATGATAGAAATTAAGGGAGAATGAGAAATTGACTGAGAAAGAGAATGAGAAAGATTGAGGGAGAACAATAGGTAGAGAGAGAATGAGAGAAATTGATATAGAAAACATAAATACAGAAACCAAAAACCTTTTTTATTTATTTTCAAATCACATAGCCGTTGAGCAGATAAAGATAACTGTGAAGGAGATTGAAAGAGAGAGATAGATAGAGAGAGAGAGAGAAAGTAAAACCCTTTTTTTCTTATTTTCCAATCACCCAACATTAAAGGGAAATTTCAGTATAAGCTTTTTATTGTGTCCAACATGGATTAAGAGTCTCATGTTGGAAGCAGCCACATAAGCCTCCGATGACATGGCAAGGGTTTTTATAATTTAAAATGTAGAGCCGGTTGTTAGAGTTTTATTGGTTTATGGACCAACTTGTAGCCTAATCTTAAATGTACACCCGACTCTGACTGTTATTTTCCCTAATTTAAAGCTAATCCAAAAGCAAAGTTATTTTCTTATCTAGATAGTGGATCAATAATCCAATTTTTTAAAGAAACCCATCATGTCATAATTGAATAATAAATATTTAAGTTTATTTTTAATCATATTGTTACTTTTGCTAATTTTCAATTTCTATCTTAACTATGATATATTTAAAATTCAAATAATTAATATGAAGAAAAATTTCTCACGTGCAACACATGTGCTTAATTTTAAAAGTGATAAATAAGGTTTATAATTGATAACATATTTCATCTAAGAGAATGAGACCTACACCATTGAAAGCCCTTATAATGAGCCTTTTTGTTTGAAATAGGAAATCAAATTAAAAAGATTATTATGGGTCCTAAATCTTTTTGAAATGAATACTTTTTTTCA